AGCACAATTGAAAAATGTATTTGTTAATTAGAAAAATAATTCACTGATATTAAAAATGACACAGAATACATAAATTATGGTATAATATATTTTAAGAAAAAAATGATCCTCATATTAACTATGTAGGAAAGGAAATGGATTAACTATTGTATATGTAAATTGGAAAAGGTATATGTTATTAATAATTTACTAGAAATATATAAAAAAATCTGTTATAAATAATTAACTAATTAATATGTATCAAAAAAATCTTTGAATGAGAAAAAAATGGCATGGTTGGAAAAGGAAATGATATATATGGATGTGCCCTATTTATAGGTATAGGGCAGCATTGTAATCCTAAATACAATGGGAATAAGAGTCCTAAACCTAATCTAGAAAGCAAGTAAATATAGTTCTATTTAGAAAGGGATTTAAGAAATCATTTCTAAATACAAACTAGTGTTTACTATTTAATGCCAATCAATTAAAAATAATGATGACTAAAAATAATAAGGCTTATTTGGGCCTAATTTAATCTCCAAAATAAGCACTTAAACAATTATAAAAATCCTTGAATTCTTCTTCATCTTTTGCAAATGGGCTTGACTTGGATTTCCACCATCTTTGAATATCACCAATGAAGAGTTGTCTTAATTGTTTGGACTTGGGCCTTGTGATTGGCCCAATTGGTACTATTGATGGATCTTCATTATGTTGGGCCGCATCATCCTCCCCTTCTTGAAAATGATTCGACCTCGAATCTTGTAAGCATTGTTTTCGATCCACGATATCACTTGCAATGGGCCACTATATTACTTTCCTCTATCGAATGGAATTATTATTGGACCTTCTTGTTTCTTCCACCAATGATTCTTTATGGACGTAGTTATGGGCCTTGTGATGAGCCCACTATACACCCTTATTGGATTCCATGTGTACTGGTTCCTATTATTCTCCCCTTCTTGAAAAGGATTCATCCTCGAATCCAAATCTTCAATGAAAGACAAATTAGCAAGCTCACTTTGTGTTTTATCACGCTCATTGAACTTTTTCTTGGGATGCTTGACACGAGTAGCTCCAATCATCATCCTACAATTAATAAGTAAGGAAATTAAGTCTAATGACACAACATGGAATTTAAATATTCTGGATGGTAATAATTCAACAAAAATGAGACATATTAAATTTAGCCATCTTGTTTGAATTGTCAACAAGCACAAAATCTTTCCTCCTAGAGCTTAAGGCTAAACCAAACACAAAATCCATGGAAATATCAAGTAATGATTTAGATGTATTCTGGTGGTAAGTAGCACAATTATGAACATAAGATTCTACATCTTTTTTCTTCTTTGGCCAATGAAAATATCCATGCAAAACATCATCACTCTTTTGAAAACCAAATTGTCCCTTATGTAAATCAACAATTAAAGCATTGCCTAAAACAAAGCAAAAAGTGTCAATTCCATTGACTTTGAACCAAAACCACTTGAGCAAGTAGTATTTAGCATAAGAAGTTTTCAAATGTGCCTTATAACTTCCTAGTGATTCCTTATCTCTATCAAATAAAGTTTTAGTAAAATCAAAGTTAAGGAATCTCGGATGTATGGATGCAAACAAATTTCTAACACATCTATCAAGTAGGTCATTAATAGAAACCTGGCAAAGAAATCTAGAGAATATTAATGCATGCTTTTCAAATAAAAGTGAGTAGAAAGTGACTCCCCTTCCTTTCTCTTGCATACTGTCCTTTTTAGTTACCAAGAGAGGTTGCACTTTGACACCATGGGCTGGTCCTTTCCACTGTATCACTGATTGTGGTCCCTTTGTTTGGCTACAAACTGAGTTAGAGAATTGGAGTGGTGATTGCAATTCCAAACATGGATGTTCCACTTTTCTCTCTTTGATTTCTTCCTTCTTTGAGGCTGGTTTGAGAGCTTGCATCAATGTCAATTGAATTTCTTCTACTTGTTTAGGATACAAACGAGGCAAGACATATGTAACTCCATTCATGTGAAACACATAAGTGTTCCTCATTCCATCAGAACTTATTTTTCTGTCAAATTGCCATGGTCTACCTAAAAAGATATGAGCAGCCTGCATTGGGATATTATCACACAAGATTTCATCAGAGTAACTGTTAATAGATAAAGGAATAAGAGCCTGTTTGGTTATTCTAGCTTCTCCTGCATTAGTTAACCATTGAAAACGATAATGAGTTGGGTGATCAAACAAAGGTAGCTGAACAAATTTAACCATAGCTGCACTAGCCATATTTGTGCAACTTCCAGAATCTATTACCACAATACAAGCATTCCCTTTAATTGAACCTTTAGCAAAAAATATATTTTCTCTTTGAGACTCATCTTCTTTTAAAGGGGGGACATTCAAAACCTCCTTAACAACAACAGTATGACTAGACTCACTATCAGTATATTTAGAATCAGATTTTAAAGGTATAAATAGTTCCCCCTCAACATGTTCATTGGGGGTTTCAAAATGGTCACAAACTTCTTCCTCAGATTTATATTCAAGACAAGAAGTGAATTTTTCAGATTGTGTTGTTATCTTAACTACCCTCTTGATAGGGCAATCACGAGCTATGTGGCCTCTCCCATTACATCTATAACAAATCAATTCTCTATCATGTTGAGGCCTCACTGCCTCACTTACCTTTTTCTTACATTTTTCTCGTGAATCATCTCTTGGAGGAGGATGTTCATCACGCCTTTGAGGGGTGGAACAAGTGTTTTTCCATCTTGATGCACCATTGTTGGACTTGTACATTTTCATCTCTTTGATTTTTGCCTCAGATTCACGTGCAGCATACAAGGCATCATAATGATGACTAAAAATAATAACGCTTATTTGAGCCTAATTTAATCTCCAAAATAAGCACTTAAACAATTATAAAAATCCTTGAATTCTTCTTCATCTTTTGCAAATGGGCTTGACTTGAATTTCCACCATCTTTGAATATCACCAATGAAGAGTTGTCTTAATTGTTTGGACTTGGGCCTTGTGATTGGCCCAATTGGTACTCTTGATGGATCTTCATTATGTTGGGCCGCGTCATCCTCCCCTTCTTGAAAATGATTCGACCTCGAATCTTGTAAGCATTGTCTTCGATCCACGATATCACTTGCAATGAGCCACTATATTACTTTCCTCTATCGAATGAAATTATTATTGGACCTTCTTGTTTCTTCCACCAATGATTCTTTATGGACGTAGTTATGGGCCTTGTGATGAGCCCACTATACTTCCTTATTGGATTCCATGTGTACTGGTTCCTATTAATCATTCAAACTCTTGCTATTGGTAAAACCTTGTTGCTAGGGCAAACTTTTGCTGCTATTAATCCTTCTTGTTCATGACCTTATCGTGATGTTTGTAGCAAACTTCTACTATGTTGAACTCTCTTGTAGCTTAACACACAACGAATATTTCAGTCATAAAAACATATTATTTAGGCCTACAAAATGAAAAATTTTGGAGTCTAAATCGTAGTCTTATTTTACATTTTGTATCATCAAAATCTATTTACGTACACTTTATACCTAACAACAACTTAGATGTATAGATAGTGTCAACATTTTAACATACACAAGAGATGCATGCATCCTATAAAAGAAAATATAGTGCTAGAACCACTACTACACAGCAGGCTTTTAACATCGACTAAATAGAGCTTTTAACGTCGGCTAAGTTCTGTAGTTGTTCTGGGCGACGTTGTATATATATTATCTATAACGTCGGCTATATAAATAGCCGACGTTATATATATATATATATATATATATATATATATATATATATATATATATATATTTAATTTAATTAATAAATACCTACAATGTCGGCTAATAATAATTAGCCGACGTTGTAGGTATTTTTTTAAAAAAAAAAAACGCTATACAACGTCGGCTAATTGGTATTAGCCGACGTTGTAGGTATTTTTTTTTTTTAAATACTATACAACGTCGGCTAATTGGTATTAGCCGACGTTGTAGGTAATTTTTTTTTTTAAATACTTACAACGTCGGCTAATACCAATTAGCCGACGTTGTAAACTGTATTTATTTTTTAAAAAAATATATTCAACGTCGGCTAATACCTATTAGCCGATGTTGTATTTTTTTTTAAATATACAGTTTATTTGTTCATTTATACCCAAAAACCTGCTCAAATTACTCACAACCACAACCCAAACCTGCTCAATTTCTCACAACCACAACCAAAACCTGCTCAATTATTGCACCACAACCACATCAAAATATGTAGAATCTAATATTTATAATGAAACAAGTAATAAAAGTAATAAATCTCACAATTTGATACTAATTAATAATACAAGTTAACATTATCAAAACCTAATATCAATTTGTTCAATTTACATACTTAACCATACATCAACAAAGAAGTCAGCCCATACGTCTCTTACTTGATCAATTTCTTGTTGAGTGTAGCTCGATCCACGAACTCTCTCAACAATCTACAAAGTTGATAATTATTAAATAATTAGTAAGCTAGCATTTTTAAAATTAGAAAGAGAAAGGTATTATATTAATTACATGCCTTATCCATTCCATCACATAATATCCACATGTCGTACTTCCAACTTGTTTTTTTTTTTTTTATTACAAAAGAAGGGAATACCCATACAACCTACGCCTATACTAAGGCTTGAAACCTAAACCTCCCACATAGAGGAGCAATCCAATACCAGTGGACCACAGGTCACTTGGTATATTTTTAACTTGTTGAGTACACTACATTTGAATTAAATTACATTTAAAATTTTATTTAATAAAAAACAATAAAATATATGTAGTTTTACAAATGTATAAAATACTTACCAAAACCTTAGTCCATTTTGGTGAACGAGTTGATCCATTGCTTCTCAACAACTTTGCTGAATTGACACACCTAAAATTATAAGAGATTAGTATACATAAATACTTTATGACATCATGCATACTTTATTAGTTATACATATTAATACTTATAAGTTTACATACTTTTTCAACAATATCTTTGATGTCATCACGTGGCTGGCCTCCAATTGAATCAAACCAATAGATTTCATTAAGTTGAGGACAAATTGCCATCAACATCCAATGGTCACTACAAATCAATAATATATTAGTTGTAAGTAAATCCTCTATATAATAAAGCTATATGGTTTGGGAAATAATTAATGTTACAATTAATGTCACAACATCCTTTATTATAAATTAAAAAAAAAAAACCACAACATTTAAAAAATAAAATAGCTATATATTATATAATCATATAAAAAATATACTTTTGAAAAATAAAATAGCTATATATTATATAATCATATAAAAAATATGTTCAATTAGAGTTTAAATTTACACATACAAAATTTGAAATTTGCTTTCCAAATGTAATTATCTTAGTTATTATTCGTATTGTGAAATTTATAATATAGATGAAATACAATTAAGAATAAATCAATGTAATTATGTAAATTCTCTCTATAAGTTTATTTGAATATGCACATAATTAGAGACTATATTAACCATACAAAATTATAATTATAATTATAATTATAATTTTAATTGTAATTTTGTATTCTATACAAATAATAAATACTTGACCAATGGAAGCTCAAAAATATTATTATATTAAATAATTTAAAATATTTTAGTTTTTTTATTTTTTATTTATATTTATAATAGCATAATTTTTTCCCGTGCATCGCGCGGGTGAATTACTAGTATAATATATAATAAAAGTGTATTATATATAAGTTATTTTATTTGAAACAATTAAAACTTACTTTAAAATATATAGCGCTAGATAGCATTGTTTTTTGCCATATTGCATGGTGACGTTGATATACCCTGTCCGTTCATCTATAGAATTCGAAATTGGTTGAATGAAATGTGGATCTAAGAAGCCATATGTGGTCTTTGATGCCAAATCAAATTTGTCATAAAGACCCCTATTCAAAAATACAATCAATCATATATATTAGTAATATAATAGATGAAATGAAAAATATTATATAAACAAATATAAGTAAAGAACTTAATTATTACCTTATAAAGAACTGCAATATGGAAACATCTAACGTCTTCATCCTTAAGAAATACATAATCTCCAACGGGTCAAGTTGTAAGGGATAGTCAACATCGCCCACAATACCACGCTCCATCTTTATCACAACATTTTCATCAAGTTTGCAAACAATTTTATATACTTTTAGACATCAAGGACTCAAAGAAGTCGGCTCAACTATAGTCAGATTAACAGAAGGTCGTTGCACACCGGAATCATAAGTCATTTGTACATGTTCAATATAAGTAACAATTACTATTTTTAAAAAGTAAATTAAACACTATTTTAAAATCCAAAATTTTTTAAAATACATACCTCATTAGCTTCGGTATACAACTCAACCAACTTCTTTGGCCAAATAATAAAGTTGTGCAATGCATCCCTTAACAGTTGAACCTCATCGGTAGGGAAGGGTACCTTTGCACTTGACACGAGAATTTCAGTCACGGTGACCTTCACTTGATCCACATGTATTTGTATCCCGTGAACCGTTTCGGCCTTGTAAACTGTCACGCGTGCAACTTTACGTCTAATGGGATCTTCCAAATACAATTCACATCCTGCTCCTAACTGCATGAATTCATATTAAGAAATAGCTAAAATATTTTTTTATAAATAATAAGATTAGTTATAAATGATTACTTACGGCCGGTAAATCAGCAAAAGGGTCTGGAGAGCTTGCTTTTTCACTATGACCATGTGGTTGGACAGCTACACGCATGTCATCCTCCTGCCTTGATGGTACAGGTTGAGCCGCTGGAGTTCTCATACTACTAATTTCATCCCTCATCTCACGAATGGCTGCTTGCAAAGATGTTTCATATTGCTCTCGGGCAACTGCTAACGCCTCAGCAACTGCTGTCTTAATCATATCTTTCACTTCTGGTGTAGACTGACTTTGACGATGTTTTGCATGACCAAAGTAGCTTTTTAAGCCATGTGCTCTACCCACGGCTCTAACATGTCCGCAATTCTCATCTGTACCTATGGCACTAGACAATATATCTTGTCTACCGGACTCAACAAACTCTCCTTGAGAAGCTTGCAATGATAGAAAATCCTAACATATAAAAACAATATTTAATAATGATTACTAGCTTTCTTAATAATGTAGAAAATTTTAACATTTTACTTACAATCTTTTCCACGACCATTCTAGTCGCATCATTGTTGATATTTCCTAATTTGTTCATTCTTGCCCTCTTCCACTTTTCATGTCTAGCTGGCGGAGATGGAGGAACAACTACTGACGATGGATCTGAACTTGCAGCTTCTTCTTGTTCTTTCATCTTCTCATCCATCATAATCTTCTCCAATCTCTTATAGCCTCCTCGGGCTAAATGATGTGGATGAGCATTCTTACCCCGTATTTCTTAATGTTTCTTTCTTGATTCCTACACAAAAAAAAACATTAAGTAATAATATATCTTTAATATATTTGAGTTAATAAACAATATGCAATCGTTAGGACAAGCATGTATCTTTTCATACTCCATACTCATGGGACACATAATCTTCTTTGCATCATATGTACTCTTCGGGAGTCCATTATCTTCTGGAAGCATATCATTTATTAAATCAAGTAAAACAGTAAAGCTCTTGTCGCTCCATCCATTCCCAGCTTTTAAGTTGAATAATTTCAAAACAACAGATAAGCGAGTATATTTACTACACCCGGGCCATAAAGGCTGTTTTGAATCATTTAATAATTCATCCAACTCATTTGATCGATTTGTGAACTCTTCTCCAACATCACGGAACATTTCGTCCAACCTATCTTCAGACTCATCATCTTCATTTGCTTCGTTGTCAACATACATGTTAGATGTACTAGTCTCTCTTCCTCCTTCACTGTGCCATATCCATTTTGTATAATTTAGATTAATTCCATCACAAATTAGATGATCATATATGTCCTTGGCACTTAATAGTTTTAGATTACAACACTTCTTACAATGACACCAAAACGTTGCATCATTATTTGGAAGATGACGTTTTGCAAACTCTATAAATTTTCTAACTCCGACTTCATATTCCGTACTCAACCGAGAAGCTTTCATCCAACTTTTATCCATCACAAGTCAATCTAGGATAATATTAATTCCAATTAGACTAGTTATTAGTAGTATCAAATTCAAAGATAGCATATAAATATTTTTAAAAATTTAAAAAAAAAATCATACACTTAATGTCATATGGGTCAATTTAGAACACACCAATGTTGCTATTTTGACCACTTACCACAATATTCGTTAATTCTATCTTATATTTACAATTACAAATTATATACAAATAATTACCAATTACAAAACAATCTAGAATATACCACTTACCAAATATATACAAACAAACCCTAAAATGCAAAATATTTACTAAAATTTGAAAAAATTCAATAATAATTTAAAATATATACAAATAAACCCTAAAATGCATATACATTTACAAAATTTTGAAATAAATCAATAATAAAAACAAATATAAAACAAATAAACCCTAAAATGCATATGCATTTACAAAAATTCGAAATAAATCAATAATAAAAACAAATATAATAAAAATAAAACCTAAATTATAATTATATTTATTAAAATTCGAATAAATTAATAATAATTAAAAAAAATACCTGGCCGGCGGGGGGGGGGGGGGGGGGGGGGGGGAAGCAGTCGAAGGTGCGGCAGTCGGAGGAGCGGACGGTAGTCGGCGGGTGGGAGGACGTCGGCGATGTGGACTGTGGCGGCGGGGAAGGACTATCGTGGCGGCGTTGTGGACGATTCAGCGCAGCAGCGTGGAGGACGGCGGCGAGAAGCAACTGGGTGGACAACGTCGGCGGCCTGAGATGGTGAGGCCGGCGGTGGGAAGAAGTGCAGTGGGGAGGAGATGGATGGAAGAGAAATGCGGTGGTGGTATGGCGTCGTTTGGTAATGTGTTCTCAGATCTGACGTTTTAAAAAACTTTATAACGTCGACTAACTTAATTAGCCGACGTTATAAAGTAAAAAAAATTAAAAAAAAAATAAAAACAATATGACGTCGGCTAGATAGTTAGCCGACGTCGTATTTTATATATATATATATATATATATATATATATATATATATATATATATATATATATATATATATATATATTAGTATATAACTTCGACTAAACTGATTTAGCCGACGTTATATATAAATAATTTTTAAAAAAAAAATAATAAACAACCTACGACGTCGGCTATTAATACAACCGACGTCGTAGGTTATATATTTCTTTTGTATTATTATTTTTTATTTATAATGTTGGCTATTTCGTAATAGCCGACGTTATAAACTTAATTATAAAAAAAAGTTTAAATATTTTTAATGTCGGCTATGTATATAGCCGACGTTAAAGACCCGACGTTGTATGTAAATTCTGTAGTAGTGAACATTGATATATAAGTAGTCATTTTGAAGCATTATTCTGATTGAGTTCCATTACCAATTTGGATTGCGCCAATGTGAGTTTATATTCTCCTATATAAGAAGATGAATTTTATATATTTATTTACATACTTAAAACAGATAATGGGTAATGAGGCATTATTGATTCTAAAGTGTTCCCATGCATGAAGTTTGGAAAATATAGTTTTTTTTTAAGGGGAAAATAGGACATATATTAAATAATCACCGAAACAATATCCTCTGGGGAGTACATGCATCAAAATAGATAGAACGACTAGAACGAGCCACCTCCATCTTGACTAAGATGTTGGTTAATATGGCATTATATTATAATAATATAATAATATAATAATATAAATTGTTTTCTTTTCTTATAGAGTATGAAATTTGACTGTCTTTGTTTAATTTTTAGTCATTTTATATGAGTTTTATGAAGTTTAACTCTTATATATATGTTTAGAATTGGTAAAGTTAAGAACGAAGCCTACTTTGGTTGTATATATATATATATATATATATATATATATATATATATATATATATATATATATATATATATATTCCATGTCTATGTTAATTAGGATTTCACTTCAATTTAT